TTGAATATAGGCGACAAAGCAGAAAAATCTATTATTTGGACGAGACATGGGTAAATGCAGGTCACACAGTTAAAAAACCTGGATAGACAAAAACGTAGTGAGTAACCGACAAGCAAGCATTGAAGGTTTGTCAACAGGTCTTCGTGGACCGTCAGGGAAAGGTCAAAGATTGATCGTAACTCATATTGGTAGCGATAGTGGCTTTTTAGAAGAGTGTGACTTGATTTTCGTCTCTAAGAAAGAAGGTGATAACCATGACGAAATGAATGCCAGCTGCTTCGAGAGCTGGTTTCAAGGGGTGCTTCAGCGAGTTGAGCCCAACTCTGTGATCGTCATGGATAATGCTTCCTACCATAGTCGTCGAGCCGAACGTGTACCGAACTATGGGATCTCGAAAAAGTGACATGCAGCAATGGTTGCGCGAAAAAGGAATCCCGTTTGAGGATTTATGTGTGAAAGCGGAATTGTATGAGAAAATTAAACAGCACAAACCTGCGAACATTAGTTACGTGACTGATGAGATGGCCCGTCAATGTGGTGTCACTGTGCTGCGGTTACCGCCCTACCACTGTGAACTGAACCCAATAGAGCTCATCTGGGCTCAAGTGAAGGGTTATATTGCGCGCCATAACACAATCTTCAAATTACCAGACGTTAAGGTTTTACTTGAGACTTCCATACAGCTAGTAACGCCCGAAGCTTGGCAGAATGCTATCCGTCATGTTGTGAAGGAAGAAACAAAAATGTGGCAGCTTGACCACCACATCGACACCATCATAGAGCCAGTTATAGTCAATTTCAACGAGGAAAGCGATAGCGACAGTTTATTACTGTCAGATGTAAGTGGAAGCGATGATGAATAAAGGTAATTCCCAAATTTTTGACTTACAATATGTTTCAAACCACTCTTTATTAAGCATGTGACAAATCTAGTTCACCCATGTTAAACATTCATACCCCGCCTATGAACAGCCGACTACTGGTAGTTAAGTGATGTTCACGTGAACATCGATGAGTCATTACAGTTTTAGATAGTTATAGTATAGTAGGTAGTACGCAGTATTAATTTTGTAGAAATCTCAATTTGACTTGCATCTTACATATCACGGAAATGGCGTAGAAATGTGCTGCTAATGGCAAATGGGGAATCCAAGTATAGCGCAGAAAACTCGCGATTATAATGACGTCTCAGGATATCGCGGAACTTTGCGAAAAATAATCACAAACTTCTGGTGTTTGTTATCGGATATGTCACACAAATGAAGACGGAAGACTTGAAGATTAATTTGTAGCAGCTATCGGGCTGTTCTAATATACTACATATTGCGGTCCGTAGTAAATACATCTAAAAACAATAGATACTACATTGAATTGATGAAAATTTTAATATTAGGCAGCACATGGTTTGATAAAATATCGTAAAGTATTTCAAAAAATTGACAGGCCGAGATTTCTGAGGACGAAGAAGAGGCCTAAGATCTATTTTTTAAAATTGTATGTAGATGTAGAGGGTTCCGCAGACTATTATTTCTATATGCTGCCCAAAAAATATAAATGTGTTACGAGAAGCTGTGTCAGACGGGTTATTTGTGTTGGCTTTTCCGAATAGAAGTTACGTTCAAAGTTATACATTACGATTTTCCATTTTTTTTTTCGTTTTGTAGAAATCTCAATCTGACGTAAGAAATTTGACATATCACTGCAATGACCTAGAAATGTGCTGCTAATTGCAAACGGGAAATCCAAGTATAGCGCGGAAAGCTCGCGATTATAATGACGTCAGAGAGTATTGCCACCCCCTGCGAAAGATAACCAGAAACTTCTGGTGCTTGCTATCGGATATGTCACACAAATAAGGATTGATGATTAATTTGTAGCAAATATCGGGCTGCTCTACGGTGAGGTTCAAGTTGACTCACGTCGTAATGTGTATGAGATAGAAGCGCGAGCAGCGTCCAATTTGTATGCTAGAAAGAGTGCGCCGATGGCGTCCGTGGCCTCCTCATTCGAGTTGCTAGACAATAAAGTGCTTCTATCTCTTTCTAACACACGTATTGCATGCTTCTTGCACTTCTCTCTCGTACACATTACGACGTCAGTGGTATTTGCTTTTCAGTGTATATACCGTAGCAAATGCATCTAAAAACAATAGATACTAGATTGGATTGATGAGAATTATAATATTAGGCAGAGTATGGTTTAATAAGATGTAGTAAAATATTGTCAAAAAATTGACAGGCCGAGATTTCTGAGGACGAAGGATACGAGTAGGACTAACATACACGTATGTTTTTTAACATGGTATATAGGGGATCTCGGTTAAAGCTATAATCCTGCTAGTGTTGCCACCTGCTTCCATTATTATTAATTAAAAATTATGATGAACGATGGTGAGTGAAAAGGTATTCTACATTTGTTTGGATTAGGTAAGCGTTTTTGGAAATATTCAGGTTTCAAAAGCTGCTGGTTAAGCATCGAATATTTTGTGGCCGGGAAGTGAACGAGATATTTGTCAATACATCAGACATACTTGCGCTGTAAAATGAGAAGGTTCATTTCTTTTCCATGTCATATTCCTTAACGAACTGTTTGTAAATTATTTTTTGGCTATGCGATAAAATGTTGGTACGCAAATATTATCTATCGAAATAAGATAGCACAAAGCGCCATGTATCACCAGAATCAACCACTGCGAGAATGGAAGCAGCTATCAGTTGAAACCGCAGAGCATCTCAGTTCGCATTTGTCAGCAAAGTCACCACTGTGCCCGATAGATGCTGTCGATTCTGGTAGTTTAGTAGATGTGGCCTACCCGCCATTGAAGAAACTAAACATGCTGCTTTCGTCCTTCCGACCACAGCCAACCATAGACAGCTATTGCGTGCTTTTTGGCAACTCATCACCAGGGTCTAGGCTTGGTCACATTCACTATACCACCAGAATCGTGAGCCTTTATCGGTCGCACTGGTGATTGGACAATCAAACGCGAGCTGAAATCTTTACAGTAGTCGATTCTGGTAATAAATGGTGCACTGTCTTATTCTGATAGGTCTCATGCCGCGGATAGGGGATAGGATGAAGAAGAAGAAGACGGACAGAAGAAATTGTGGTCCAAGTCAAAGATTTGTAGATATTTTTAGAAACTTTCTGATGGAATATACGATCAGATACTCGTATTTCATTCGCTCACTTTACTATCTCACTCACACCACCGAGTCGGGTGGCGAACGCTGTAGGTACTTGTGGCAGGAATATTTTGTTTTGTCGTCGTTCAGAAACGTTGATAGGTATCTAATGAATTAGTATTTTCAGACATTATGTACGTATACTGCGTGTTATACTATTAAGCATGTTGAGATTATGCTTGCTTCAGTTTTTGCTATGTTAATAAAATGAGCTTGAACAAGCCTGAAAATTCAATACATGGACAGTCATTGGTGCCTAATTATGGAAAGGGCTCTCCTATGTTCTCCCTACTATTTATTTTAATAGAATTTGTTATTCGTATTTTTAGAACATCGGGTTCACAGTCGACCAGGAAATCAAATACCTGGAATGAAGACAAAATGATGGAAGCGATAAAATTAGCCCGAGAAAAGAAAATGGGATATTTAAAACCCGCACAGTATTTCCAAGTGCTTCAGAACAACTTTGTTCCAAGTATGCAAAAAACTGAGACGAGGCAGATGACGCAGTAGGCTCATATCATGAGTCTTTACTGTGGGCTTGATCGATAACTTCACTACGGCGCATGGTATCTAAGAAAGTCACATTTAAAAATTGTACTAAACAGTATGCTTCTAATTTCCAAAACATTTTTAGGATTTGTTTTTTATGTTGTTTCTATGTTGTTATTATGTTATTGTATATTGGACAATCTATAAGAAAAAATACTCAACTTTGACAACGCGCACCTCCGCAACTATTATAGGTCGAGCAATGAGTTTTCCGTCAGAAAAATGTTAAGATGGCATATTGTATCCTCGTCCACTTACTTTTACAATTTTTCGAATGGTTTGTATGGGGTTGTCAAGAACGCATAATCAGTTATTTCTCAAAATTTAATTTCCCTTTTCATAAGTTTTCTTTTGATATAGGGTTTATAAGTGTTTGTACGGTTTTTGAATAACTAGAAACACAGGAACACCTTATTTACTTTTCGACTTATTTCATAAGGTTAGGTATATTTAACTTATAATGAAAATACACCAGTTCTAGCGATCTGCCTTTACCAACTAAATGCTATCTTTTTTGAAACGAAATGTGACGTTTTTCATTTACCTTGAGATCTGATTTACAGATAAGCTAGCTTTAACTCAAAAATCAGCCGTACAAACCCCCAAAAACCTTATTTCAAAAACGCTTGTGGAAAGGGGAATCAAAGGATGCGGAAGCATACTTAGTGTTCCATTTCAAAGTTTTGAGAAACTGTTCATTTTACGTTCTTAACCACCTTGTATGAACTGAAAAGTAAGTGGAAAAATATAGGGCCATAAAATTTTTCTTGCTGAAAATGATCCAATATCTCAACAATCTGAAATTAAAACTCTATAGTCTATTGTATCAAATTGCTTTACTTGAAATGATCAAGCCAAATCGGCAATACAATATTGGGCCTTCCATTTGAAAAATGTATGTTTGGGTCACCACGTAGTTATGAATCACCCTGTAGAGATATAAATACGAGTACTTTTCAAAGCGCACTGTTTTCTACATTTCTTTGTGATTACTTTTTTCAATATCATTACCAATACACAGTTATCGAGCGGAATATGCTTAGCACAAACTTGACCCTCTGAGAAAAAAGTCATTGAAACATTAGTAACCTTCAGTTAGTCCATAGACGTTCATTTCCGGCCCGACCGGTAGTGTATCCGGAAACGTTGCCTTTGCTAATTAATAATAACAAAAATATTTCTTTTTATACGCCCAAAGAAAAATGATGTTCCATATTTAGCTACATTTTCTTATCATCTAACTTGGGGAACATAACTACAAACCTCTATTTGGTCAAAGTTTTGTGCAGCTTGCTTGTAACTGTTCCTTCTCCTAGCCTCCATCTTCAATGCTTCTATTTGCTCTTCCATCAGACTTTCAACTGTTCTGCCTGGAACTTCAGTGTCAAAAGTGAATTTTCCTTCTTTGGTCACCGGTACTTTGGGAGTAGCTTCATCCAACGACTGAACCCTTTCTATGGAGTGGGTTGAGCGCAAGCGAGGAGCTGTGGTTGCCGTGTGGTCCTAGAAGAGCAAGAATCTTCGGCTAAAGTACAATCAAAATGTATCTTTTCCTTGAAAAATTATTTACCCTTATTGACAAAGCATTCTAGTTCAAAAGGGCAGGGCTAGAATCATGTTAATGGTTTCGCTCCTGTTAGTATGTGTACCGACGAATGTAGATGATAGAAGAGATATTTCGGTTCTGAACGAGTGTTAGCAAAAGAATCGTATAGTTTCGATTCCGATTATTTCGATTCCGATTCTGGTGGTTCCGATTTAAATTCCTGAAACTGGAACTGTTATTAGGTAAAAAACCCATATAATACAAAAAACGGGAAAATGTGAACTTGCTGACTAGATAGCTCCTAGTGTGCAAATAAATGCTCACTGTGACCGATGTTAGACTCACCAATGGTGTCACGTTTGGAGGACTGACTCAACTATAAAAAAATACGTCACATATTTCAGATCGTTCGTTAACTTTTTCTATACTAAATAAATCTGTTGCAAATTGTTCTAAAAAATGTCGCTTCAGAAACTTAGAAAATCTAGATAAAGACTTGCTCAATGAGTTTTTGGAAATTTCTCCTTCAGAACAATTGATCTATTTACCAAAAGTTGAGGAAAAAGTCTTATTTTTGAATGAAGTACTGTTCAATACCTTCGATGTACTAGCTCCTGTAAAGTATATTCAATTTAAAGTTCGAATACCCTCATGGTTAACGTTTTCTATTAAACGCATGATTAAACTAAAAAACGGAAAATTCCGGAAACTTAAGAAAAACAAAACTGTTGGGAAAATTTTAAACAAATGAAAAATCAAACGAATATTGCCATACATAATGAAAAGAAAAGTTATTTGAAATACTGTTTTGATAAAAATATCAATCAAACTAAAGTGCTTTGGAAAAAATTATTAAATTTAAATATTAGCAACAAGAAAACAGGTTGTATTCCCGATCAGCTGAATAATCCGGATGACATAAATAACCATTTTCTTCAGATCTCTCGAGCAAGCTCATCAATAGACTATGACACTTTGGATTACTATTATAGCAATAGGCGTTCTAACATCAACACTCTTTTTGAATTTCACACAGTTTGTCAGGATGTCGTTAAAAATGCACTTCTCAGAATTAAATCGCTTGCCATAGGTGCTGATGGTTTAAATCTTGAAATGATCTTATTGTGTTCCCATAAAATCATCCCCTACATTGCAAATATAATAAACTCCTGTATTTTAGATAGAGAATTTCCAGACTCATGGAAAGTTTCCAAAATTATACCAATATCAAAGAAGTCTGAAATTAATGACTTCTTCGCCCCATAAGTATTTTACCAGTGCTATCAAAACTAATGGAGATTATATTGGACCAACAAATGAGAGATTATTTAACTGAGAACAATTTGTTACTAGACCATCAATCGGGATTTAGGAAAGGTTTCAGCTGCGAAACTGCACTGTTAAATATAACTGACGACATCTTCAAAGCAACAGATTCCGGAAAAACCATCGCTCTCGTGCTCTTGGACTAACCCAAGGCATTTGATAAAGTAAATCACGAAATGCTGTACGCTATTGTCTGCTGTTGCTTGTCATTTTACTGTTTGTTTATTTTATGTATATACATACTGTAAATTGTTTGTTGACGAACCCTATAGATGTTTTATACATGTCTAATGGGTAATAAATATTATTATTATTATATATACAGGTATATATATATATATACAGTGTGTCCGCAAAGTTGGGGTTTTCCTTTTCAGAAACAACTACCCTTGAAATAACAAAGGTGATGTGTAGTGAAACAAGGGCGACCAAGTAAAAAAAATAAAGGAAAAAGTACGCACTCTCCAGTTGACGCGAAGGGCTAAGTAGGTCTCTGCCCGAAATCATACCGCTCCAACAGAAAATGAAATCAGCTGATGCACTACCGAGCAGACGCAGGCAAACAAGGAAGGCAAAATGTTGCGTAAAAAGTCTAGGTATTGCATTCCGTCCAATCGATTTGGGAGAATAAATGGTCCAATGAGCATACCGTTCACCATGTCAGCCCAAACATTCACCGAAAATGTTTGTTGCAAATGTGCCCGACGGACAGCGTGCGGATTTTCTACTGACCAAACATGAGTGTTGCGAAAGTTATTCACCTCATTACGCGTAAACGTAGATTCGTCTGTCACCAATATGCACTTCAAAAGGTCCGGATTATTGTCATGTTGATGCAACAACCACTCACAAAACCGCACTCTTGCTGGAAAATCGTCAGGTTGAAGGGCTTGTACACGTTAGACGTGAAACGGATACAGCCCCTCTTCACGCAGCGTTTGCCACACTTTAGTTTTTGATACTTGCACTTCTCTAGCCACGTCTCTAGTGCTTGTTGAGGGATTCTCGTCTACGCGATTACCTCTACACGCGTGACCGTAACCGTCGGTTGAAGGTTGCATACTGACCTGACACACTGACCCCGACCCAGTTCTGTCGTCGGGTTGAGTGTCCTAGTTCCACTCGGGGATGTCGCGGCTACAGGACGGTATTCATATATTTTTGATGTTGCAGAGCCCTTTAGCTCGGTTCCCTTAAGACAATGGTGTATATGGAACTAAGAAAAATTGCTTATGTTTTCAAGATCTACACGTCGTGTAAAGGAAAACCCCAACTTTGCGGACACCCTGTATATACAGGGTGACTTCGAAGTTGAGTCATTTATTTTAACAGTGAGTAGATCTGATCAAAAGAAATGTTTTTTTCCTTTACCATTTTTCTGGTAAAATTAAAGTAACAAAGTTATAGCCCTGTCTCAATAATAATATTATGTGGTCGTGTTTGGCGACAACGGATATAATCCGCCGTATCGGTTCATCGCATCGGAAACAAAAAAGCGAAAGAATTTGGAACGATGTTTTTATTTCATTCAGTTCAGTTATACATACAGTCAGTGTCAGTCGCGTGTGAATAGTGTCTGTTGCGTGGCTCAAACGAAATAAAAAATGGCACATGTTTATGCGGATCGGTTTCCCAATCGAGTGCAACCAACCCCTCGTGCCTTTGTTAATGTAGTACAACGGGCTCGTGAATCAGGTGACTTAAGACCTCACAGGGCACCTCACGATCAAATACAGGTCCGCACTGAAATACTTGTCGGGAGGATACTTTATAAAACAAGGTAAAAATTTTTTTTATTTGTTTTTTATTTTTACACACATATTTTGGTTTATCTTCCTTCTACAATCATTATCTGAAAATTAATGACGCAACTTCAAAGTCACCCTGTATATATACTATATAGGGTAGGGGCATTATGGGAAATCACCGCGTTGTGTGTAATTAAGCCACATCATTAGGAATGACGCATCACACACAAAACATTTTCGCAGTATCTATGCATTGCCGTTTCGCCTGCAGGGGTATTGCGTAACTGTATTCTAGAATGCATGAGGCACAATTCATTAACAATGTGTGATCAGTACGTAATCAAATCGTCATTCAGCATGACTTGTGCCAATGTTGAATATAAACATTTTCACTAAAAATCACAGTGCTGTAAATTAGTAGCCTGATCGCTTATATGGGCACAGTTACACGCAACACTGTCCCCGCGGAAATGTATTTTTGATGACGCCATCAGTTTATTTGTGTACAGTTACACAATTTTGCGAAACAACGGAACCTCAATTTTTTTTGAGAATTATATGAGAACTAAGTGCGCCTCGGTACTAACCACAAATTAGAGCCTTACTTATATGCATACTCATCTCATAAATCACTGTTAAGACAATTAAGTTTTAAAAATTTCTTTACAGTCAAATAGATCAAACGCGGCTTAGAGACATTTTAGCTACACAAATTCTACACGTTGCTAGTGATATATGCAAACATAGAAGGCACGCCTGATTTCAGAGTTTCGAATAACCTACATTTCTGCTATAAATAACGAAATAACCAGAAAGTGTATAAACGTCAAATAACAAATTTTTTCGTTTTTTTAGGTGACCTCCATGAACTTTTGTACTACCTCAAATCATTATCAGCAACTCCGAAAACATTCAAAACATTAAGTTCGTTAACGTTCTCCGATTTTTCCTTTTGACTTGTTCCTGCGCCTTTATTGGTGAACGCATTTAAGCTGTTCTATCATCGATACAGCAGTCAGCTGTACTTTTGTGACAAAATTATATTAGAATCCAAGCAGTAACTCTGGAACTATACGAATAGAGGACCTCGTAGCTACTTCGCTGAAGTTATTTTTAAGGATCTTCTTCGGACTCATACAGAGCCTGTTTGATTCATTATGTAATCAAGCACTTGAAGGATGAGTACAGTTCAGTGCAAGTAACTGCGCTGGAAACAGTCGCCTGAAGTGACCGTTTCGACAGCTGGGGTTCTACTGGCCTCTCTGTGCTAGAGCCTGTGCTACTCTGCGTGCGCGTAAAATCCACTCGTCAAATATACCTTTAGCCAGAGTGATTCTACTGGCATCGCGTAAAAATGGAAAAGCCCAGGATTGCCTGAGGCATTGCCGTACAGAGCCGATCAGGCTATTGTTGCAACACAGATAAAAAATATATGATCATTAATTCTATCTATTCGTCATTGTCCGTCAGAGCGGGCCGTGGGACCCTCGTTCTTTGTTAAAGTATCGTAGGTCAGTAGGTCTGTCAGGCCTGGTTGCCCAGATACCAGACGAAGTCAGGGAGGAAGAAAGGAAGAAGAAAGAAAGGAAGGAAGGGGAAAGAGCAAAGAGGGTGAAGTGCGCCTTTTAAAGGGATGCCTTGCTATTGTTAACTGGTATTCGGTTATTTTAAATTAATCCAAAAATTAATTTAGGAATTTGTGTGTGTCAAAACTCGTAATTTTGGTTAGACCTAGAATTGCACGATTTGATTTTGATCACAGTGCGAGCCGCGGTCTTGTGTGCTTGCGAACTTGCTCGACTGTGTCTACTGGCTCCGATTTCGCTTGACGATAACGTAACTGCGCTTGATGTATGATGTAGTCCCTTAGGTAAGTGATGTCG